TCAGGGCTTCAGCCTTGTAGGAGAGATTCTCGCGCGCAGTTCAGCGATCCACACAGACGCTGCTACCCGCCAGCAGCCATATCACCCTGAGGCTCACAGCTGGCAGCCCACTGAAGCTCAGCAGGTGTGAGCCTGGTCAGTCCCTGGATGGGAGACCTCTGGGAAAAACTAGGGTTGCTGCTGGAAGAGGTGTTAGTGGTGTCAGTAGGGGGCGCTCACACTGCAGGGTGTGTAGGCCCTAATGCCCCAGTATATGATATACCAATCATGGCCTCCTAATAATCCCCATCTCTGAACTGGCTTCATCACTCTGCTCTCCTCCCCACTGAGAGCTGGTGTGTGGGGAGAGGACTGGCGCACTCTGGCTGCTGTCGCATCATCCAGGTGGGGCTGCACACTGGTGGTGGTGGTGGTGAAGGGGATCCCCATGACCTGTAAAGCGCTTTGAGTGGAGTGTCCAGAAAAGCGATATATAAGTGTAAGCAAATGTTATTGCCTGCTTGGGGCTTATCTGCAAGCTGGAGCTCTTCCCTGGTGCTGCTGCAGTCCCACAGAACCGAGCTGATGGCCGTGTATGAGGAAAGGCTTACAAGCCGAGTGGTGGGGATTGATGACAGCTGCTTGTCTAGCTCTCCCCGTGAGGCCTGACCACCTGGCTCTTGTGAAACACCCGCTTTTGAAAAAGCTGTTGAGCCTTGACAGTCACCTGCCTGGTTGTGTACTGTTTTTAGGACATGAAGTCTCTGCACGTGGGTGTTGGCTAGCTCTTCTCTGAGTCTTGTCACGTTTTTCGTCAGTCCAGAAGTGCTCCGTCAGCCGTGCGAAGGAAGGAGCTGGGGATATCTCTGCAGTTGTCGTCGTCGTCGTCGTCGTCGTCGTGGCTGCTGAATGGAAGTAAGACCATGGAGTGGGTTTAGACCAGGGATCTCCAAAACCGAAATCATCCTGAAACCAGGATCGCACCTTCCCCCTTATCTCAGCCACAGACTCATCTCCTCCTAGTCCTCTCGATTCATTAGCAGGTTTTGACTTCTCCCTGAGTGTCGATACTCCTGCTTCCCTGTCTTTTGTTCCCCCATGCTTCACTATCTGCTGACGCCCCCCTCTCCCTCACGCCTGAAGAAGGCTCCACAGCCGGAAGGCTCCCTTCTTTTCCTTCCAGCACGGAATAAACCCGTTCCTGTGTATATACAGTATGTATGCTGTATATGTATTTATATACTGTATGTATGTAGCCCTGATTTCGGGCTCGTGTGGAGGGGAGGAGGCACTGCAGGCTTGAGAAAGGGGGCTTTTTGTCCATGCAGCGTCGCTGCCCCCGTCTCCCCCAGCCTGGAGGAGCTGGGCTGAATGGCCACTCTGTGTCCGGAGCCGGGATGGGCCGCCAGTGAAATGCCTCGGCTTCCAGCAGTTTCCTTTGGAAAAACACCAGCGAGGAGGGGCGACCTCAGCGCGTCTCCCTGTCTTAGGGGGGACAGACTCCCTTCTTCTCAATGGCTGGCAAGCTCAGCGCTGGGAAGGCCAGCTGGCCTGGTAGAGGCAAGTGGGACATCAGCAGAAAGAGCTCGACTCCTTACCTTCCAAGTCTGGCTTGTTTCTTTTCCTCCTTCAGATGTGTTAATTCACAGGGTAGACCCACGCAGGGAGCTAGTATTGCTGCAGTACCGCTCTTTATTTTTGGAGTCATGTTTTTTTTCAAGTGCACGGGCAGCAGGTCTGTTGAGTAAAGCCAAACCTTAGATCCACTGTCCTTCAGTACTGGGGGAAAATCTGTAATAGTGTTGCGGAAAGAGGTGATCACTGACAGACCGCCTTAAAAAGAAGGGTAGAATCCTCTTACGGATTTGTTGCAGAGAATGTTTGATGTTATGCACGTGCTTTTGACTAACACAGTTAGTTTTGTCCCACCTCGGGGACCTGCTCATGTAGCGGAGCTAGTTCGGACACGGTGACGTCATCGCCCTCCCTGCGCGTAGCGGGGACCTCAGCCGCCTGGGCTGGGGGAGCTCTCCTTTAGCTCACTCGGCTGGTGCCCTCTTGTGTTACGCCGGAGCCCCGGGTTCGCGCCCCAAGTGCTGCAGGACGGAACGGGGTGGCGGGGGGCACGAGACCGCGCGGAACCGCGACGGTCACACTCGGATCCTCCCTGTGCTGGCAGGTTCACAGGGACGAATCTTGTGTTGACATCTTTTTTTTTTTTTTTTTGCTGCCACTTCCAGTGACGGGCTGTGCTCTCGGCCCTGGGTGTGATGTTGAAAGGGCTGGAGGGCCTGCGCAGAGGCTGACTGTCCCGAGGTCCTTTAAAACCATCTAGCGGAGCCCAGCTCTTGCAGACTGGGGCTGTGGTTGTTTTGGCACGGCTTCAGGGAGGCAGCTCGATGTGTCGGTCCAGTCAGGGCGGAGTGTCTCTGGGCAGTGGTGGTCGTCGATGTGCCTTTTCGGCTCGGCGCACGGGAGCAACGTGTGGCGCTAAGGGCTGTTTGGTCTCTGCAGGAAGCCTGCGTCACGGGAGGAAGCCTGGCCTGTAATTTGAAAGCGTCTCGTTTTCTCGGCAGCGGCCGGGCTCGGCCCCGCTTCGTACTGTGAGCCGAGTCGGGGGGGAGTGACTTCGGCGGAACAGAACTTTGTGTGCGAGCCGCTCCCGGGGGGTATCGAAGAGCGGGCCTCTCGTGGCGTGGGGGCGCGCGCAGACCCCCAGCGAGCCGCACTGGTGCGAGGTGAAAGGATTGAATGACAGCCTGCTGCAGGAGCAGGCTGCCGGAGGACAGTGGTTTTTAAACAGCCGGAGGCTCCGTTTAGTAAAAGGAATCCCCTGCGAGGCCTGGGGTGGGGGTGGATAATTTCACGCCTTTCTGTCAACAACTATTTCTTGCTCGCTCTTTATTGCCGTTAACTCTTTATTGCGGGCGAGTGGCTTGAGTCCCCTGCACTGCTGCTTTCGTCTGTCCATCCGTGTTCTGACTGCTTTATGCGATTCGGGTTCCTGGTAGGGAGCAGGAAACAGCCAGGCCATCGCAGGGCAGGCACACAGTCGCGCCAGGGCCAGTTTCCCAGAAGCCAGTTAACCTACCAGCAGGACTGTGGGAGGAAACCGGAGCATCCAGAGGAATCCTGTGCAAACGCAGGGAGAACATGCAGACTCCACACAGACAGCCCCCCCAGGTCCAGAACTGCACCCAGGGCCCCAGTGCCGCGAGGCAGCAGTATTGACCGCCCCCCGTGGTGCAAAGTGAGCCGCTGCGTAGGCGGCCAGCACCAGGCCCACGCAGCTCCGGGCCGAGAGCAGCATGGGCCGGGCCCACTGCGTCACCTTGAGTCCCGGAGGGGTCTCTGCATGCCCTTCCCACTCCGCACGGCGGCGCCGCGGTCCTGCACGCGCTGGCCTCGCACCCCTCTGCCACACGCTGAGTTTAAGTGATCTGTTCCAGCTCTTTTGAGACTGAAAGAGGTTAAGGTTGCGAACTCAAAGAGGCCATTTGGCTGTTCAGTAATTTCCTGAGCCATCTGTCCGTCTCTTAAAGTGTCACAGAGATCCTGCCGATCTGCGCTCCCTGAAGCTGTCTGTCGGGCTGCGGGGCTGTTTGGTTTGTTTTTACCCGTCTTGTATGCAACACATCTTTCAGAGCAGTCAGCCTACTCTTTGAACAGTTTCCAGGGCAGAACAGTCCCTTTTCCAGTGTTGATTAGCATGAGAAAGGTCACGAAAGAGAAGAAGCCATTGGGCCATTTAACCTGTTTAGTTGCTAATTGATCCAAAGATCTCAACCTGTTTCCTGAAAGGAGGCAGGGTATCGACTTCAATAGAATGGCTGCGTCCATTCGCTTATAAGGAACAGGTAACTGGTTTATTCTATGCTGAAAAGGAAAGAAAGGAAACGCAACATTTTGGCTGTGGAGCCTTTTTCAGGTGTGGATCCACAGCCAAAACATTGTGTTTCTTTTCTTTTCTGCATGGAATAAACCCGTTGCCTGTTCCTTTGCAGCCTACGCATGCTGACGCAGCTCCGTACTTGAGTGACTACAGTAGCTTATTCCACGCTCCCTGCTGTGCTGATGCCCAGGTACCCGTGTCAATAACGTGGCCGTGTGTCTAGCTTGTTCCATACTCCCACAGCCCCACTGGGAAAACAGGGCCCAGTTACCCTCAAGAGGGAGGTTGCAGAGTTCATCCCACTCAGTGTGTCAGTCCTCGGAGCTGGACACCTGCTGCTTCACAACAGATGACGTGAGCGGTACGCCTCCTGCGGACTCTTCCAGAGAAGTCATCCAATTTGCAGTAGAATTGGATTTGAAATGTTTCATTAAACTCGTTGGCCTGGTGGTGCAGTGGATCTTGGGGGTAGTCTGCGTGGAGTTTGTATGTTCTCCCCATGTTCACGTGGACTTCCTCCCGCACTCCACAGGCACACTGGTAGGTTAACTGGCTCCTGGGAAAACAGGTCCTGGTGAGAGTGCGTGTATCCGTGTGTCCGCCCTGCGATGGACAGGTATCCCACCCAGGATGTACCCAGGCCTCCGCCAGTTGCCTGCTGGGACAGACTCCGGCTCCCCCGTGCCCCTGTACTGGAAGACCTGTTGCAGCTGCAAGGTCCTGGGAAGAAAGGAAGTGTTTTTGCAGAGGAAAGATCCTCCGCTCCCAAGTCCCCACTGAGTGAAAATATTCACCCCGTGCTTCCATTCCAGGAAAGGATGATTCAAGTAGATTCATCTGGTGCTGTAGGGTCATTAACTTGGCATGCTAATTATCAGCATTAGAATACATATGAATGCTTTTCATTCATGACGGCTTGTGAATAAAGAATTGGATAGCGTGCAAGGAGGCTGCTTCTATTCTTATCCATTTGGGCTTTCCTCCCTCTCGCATCAGTGAAGTGGATTGTCTGTGTCGGCCGAGCGGGTGGACACTGGGGGCTTGTTTCGCCGCTCGGGGTGAAAAGGGGCTTTGTTGGGAGTCGGTCAGAGAGAGAGAGAGACGGCCCTGCTCCGAGCGCAGAGCCGGGATGTCGGGGAACGCGGTCCCGGAGGGGGCGATGTCGACGTTTCCCCCCCTGCCGCCGCCGAGGCGGACGGAGAGGTGGAAGGTCAGATCGGGGGGGCGCGCGTTGTTCTCGGGGCTCCGTGGGCCCCGTGTTGCTTGAGCCCAGACGACGCGTGGTCTGGGAGGGGCTGGCAGCCGCACTGGGGTGAGAGGCTCTTGAAGTCCTGGGATTTCTCTGGTGGGGTGGGCAGAGCTCCTGAAGATGTGAGCTGTTCGTGTTCCCGTGGGTTCTGGTGCTCCGGGAGCAGGTCTGCGGACAGGCGCTTGAACTTTCCGATGAAATCGGATGCGGAAGGAGGATCTGGTTTAGCTTAGCCCTCATCCAACATCCTTCCACTGGCCAAGACGGTGGCTAGCGTGTTAGCCATCATCATGGAGGTCACTGCTCGGAGGGAAATGCCCTGCTGTGACAGGTGAAGCCGAGTTAAGTCTCTGTGTGAATTGTAAAAAAAAAAACAAAAACAAGCAAAATAACACTGGAAAAATTTGTAGAAAATATCCTTATACTGTAAAGCCTTCAGTCTGGACGAGTTGGGTTATTGTAACCCTAGAGTCCACATGCAGGTAAAGCCAATGCAGTCTCTTTTTTCACAATGCACGTCCAGGGTATAAAAAGCAGTGTTAATGCCAGCTCAAGAAAAGACATCATTTCTGTTATCATGGCGGTGGGTGCTTCCAGTTCACAGCACTTCTGTGAATTGGTGTTTGTTGTGAATATCTTCACAGCAGATATAAGCTTGTAATCACTAATTACATGACCCAACTTGCTAACACCTGCCTGACTCCACACAAACAAGTTAATTGGTTTAGACTGTACAATTTATTTTTGTGATCTGTGTTGTGGTGGGTTTAAACTCGATGAAACATCAAAAGTCATACGTCTATTACAGCTCTAAAAAAATTTAAAAGATGAACTAATAGGCGGCGTATCAGTAAGAGCTGCTGGAGTAAGGAGTAAGGGGTTTTGCATGATGACTGCCACCCCAGAGTGCTTTGCAAGGCAAGCTTTGGCATGACTGAGCTCTTATTCTGATAAGCTATCGCTGGACAGCAGGGGGGCTTGCAGTCCACATAAGCTTTAAAGCTGCTCTTTGTCAATTGCCGCTTCAGGCCTGGAAGACGTCTTGCGCTGTGGTGAGAGAAAGAACTGGTTGTTTCAGTGCAGGAGCTTGGCGAGCTGAAACCTGACAATCTCCAGAAGCCCCTGAATGTCCCACAAACACCAGGGGTTCGTAGTTCTCAAGGACAGGTGTAACAGTACAAGAGGGGGTGGGGGCTGTGAACCCCCACCTCTGTCACACTGTTCTCCTTCTCCGCACACAGTGATAAAACGCAGGTGTGAGCCTGGTCAGGCCCTGGAGGGGAGACCTCCTGGGACAAACTAAGGTTGCTGCTGGAAGAGGTGTTAGTGGTGCCAGCAGGGGGCGCTCAACCCTGCGGTCCATGTGGGTCCTAATGCCCCAGTATAGTGATGGGGACACAAGACTGTAAACAGGCGCCGTCCTTCGGATGAGACATAAAACCGAGGTCCTGACTCTGTGGTCATTAAAAATTCCGGGATGTTTCTCGAAAAGAGTAGGAGTGTAACCCTGGCGTCCTGGCCAAATTTCCCCCTGGTCTTTACCCATCATGGCCTCCTAATAACCCCCATCTCTAAGGGGTTCAGGCTGCCGTTGGAACATGCTCCCTTGCAGGCAGAGCCACTCCCCATTACTGACTCTTAGCTTCCTTGGAGTCAAACCAGTGAAGGAACAGGAGCACTGCCGTGTTTTTCCGCGGATCCTGGAGCGCATGTCCTGGCTTGCTCGGCCCCGGTCTGGCAGGTGTGCTGCTGTGGAGGTGCTGGGGTTTCACTGGGGTCAGGCTTCAGGGAGGTGGGTAGGGCTCTCTCAGCCGGCTCCAGCCCTCCTGGCAGGAGCAGTGGAGGCTGCAGTGTCGAACGGCAGCTGGCTCTGCCCCAGTGGGTGTGTTGGAGGAGCCTGGGTGGGTGTCTCGGTCTCTCCTGCTGGGGTTCAGGATTCTCCCAGACAAGCAGCCCAACGGAGGACAGAGCTGTTGTGTGTTTGTGTGCAGTAAAACGACTGTGTTTTTTGCTTCTTTTGGTATTTTAGTTATAACGTAGAGCCAAGTCTCAAACCCACCCAGCTGGTTCTTACTGGGTTTAGCCCATTCACCCAGCCATCCGTTTTCTAAGCGCTTTATCGCAGGGGCCCTGACAGGAGCACGGAAACCAGGGCAGACCAGGAGCGAGTGATATGGACGTGCTGGTAAGGGAACAGGGCACAGCTCTGTGGAAAGGTGAAAGGACACTGGTCTGACAAACAATGTCAATGTTTCAGTTGCGGGGGGTGTCTGTCTCAAGCCGTCTTGATGCTTTATAGGGGTGCAGTGCCTCAGTCCTCCTGAAGATGTGGCTGTCCTCACCCCGCACTCGCCCTGAGCTGCTGCTAGGAGGAATTCCGAGTCGCCGATCCCAGCTTCCTTCAGCACACCCAGATACTTCCAAGTTTCTTGCTCCAGGATAAATAGCCTCATCACCCCTCCCCTTGAGACAGACTGGGGAAGTCAACCCCTACCTAGTCTGGCAGAGTGTAACAATAGGAGTGAATGGGAATGCACGCCGGCTGAGCTTGGCAGCGCACACGGTGAGAGAGGAAGCACTGCGAGGGTCTGCCTCTGCAGTGGAGTC